GCCACGGCACCGCCAACGAGCGCTCTGCAGCCGCTGCCGTGGCGAGGCCACCGTGGGGGCGGTGCGGTGTGGATGTTGCCGGAGGGCTGGGCCCGTTCCATATACCGTCATCAGTGCCGGCCGGCCCGGCCCCGGTACCTGCTCTGCGTGCTCGGCGCCCCGCTCGGCGAGTACCCTCCTGCCATGCACGGCGCCCTCAAGGAGCCCCTCTTAATGGACCACTTACTGCAGTCTCGCTGCGAAGGATCGTTTCCATCGCTCCGTCGCACTCCCGGAGCGTCCCGCAGGTGCGAGAGAGACAGAGCGATGAGGCGGCGGCAGGCAGGCGCACGCACGGCGCGGTCTACCGAAGGCTTGCCGAGAGAGGCATGCAGGGCTACGACTACGGCCTCGATGATGGAGACGGACCGCCGCGGGCTGCGGCTGTCTGAGGCCTCGCCGGATGCGGTGAGGGGTGGGGAGGAATGCACCAACCGGCAGCACAGGAATCTCCATCGCACTGTAGGCCGATTCCGCGAACGGCCCCTCGGTCTCTCTCACTCCCACACCGGTGCGGCTTGGGTGCGACAGAGACGGGGCGACGACAGCGGAGCTCGAAATCGCTCTGCCGGGCATCCGCTCCGCTGCATTGCGCCACCAGCCGAGCTTGGCGAGCCGCTGCTGCGAAATGACAGGGCTGCAGTTGCCTGCCTTCGGGACCCCGCAGGCCCGACTCTCTACGAAAAGTCCAGAAGCGTCACTGAATAACAAAAGGTGAATTTTGCGCTAAAATTGTTTTTCGAGCCGAGCGGCCTCTCATCGCCTGCATTCTTTGCGGTGCGTGGCTCGGCGGCGAATATCGACTCGCGACCGCCGCGCCCAAACCGCGGCTGCGATGCGAGGAGGCTCGGCGAAGCAGCCCCGCGCAAACAGTGGAGCCAACAGTCACTATCGCTTAGCGCACCGCGAGCAGCGCGGCGCCGGCGCCACTGCTGCCACTTTCACGGTCGCTGGTGTTGTTGGCGGACCAACTTTGGCACCCCTGTACTGCGGGCCGCCCCGCCTCACCCCGCCCCGCTCCGCGCTCTCCGAAATAAGCCTGGAGATGCCGAACAATACAGTAGGGCCTGCGTGCGTGGGCGTGGTGTTGTGATTATTTGGTGTGTGTGTGTGTGTGTGTGTACGTGTGTGTGCGTGGGCGCACCGTCGCGGTCCGACAGTGCGGTGAGTGCGAGAGTGAAATTGAACAGGCTCAACAGGAAACCTGAGGCATAATAACATAGGGAAACAATCGAACTAGATACACAAAAAGATCCACGCAAAAACTGTTTCTTTGTTGTTTCTTTGTAAACAATTTCATTTTCTTATTTTTGTTGGCTAAACTAAACGATCTAGCAGCGACTAATTTTGCTTCAAAACGGGCCGTCGAAAGCGCCTGCGAGGCACACTGTCCCGCCGAACAGCCAAGTGATCGGGTTGCCTATCCTCTCGTCCGCAGGCGCGCGGGAGGATGGCACCTTTGTTTCGTGCCTCCCCGCCGCCGGCAGCCTCTGTCTCCTTAAGCATTCTTTCCCTCTTTTCTTCTTTTTCTCCGCCTCGTTTGCGGGAGAAAGTTTTGAGCGTGTCCGGGGAATCCGCAGGAGTGTGCCGTACACCTGCCGGTGCTCCCATGGTGCAGACTGCGTTGCGTTGTCCCAGCGGTCGGACCAGACAACCGGGGGATTACTGCAAAAGTTGACATCTTGCTGACAAAACTTCTATTTTAATCTCATTTTTGATAGATTTTGACATAACGGAATCTTCGTGTCACATCAAGATCGAATTCGTACTGTACCTACCGCCACCATATCATTCACAGCAGAGCCAAAAAGCTGAACTGGAGCTGTTAGAGTATTTCAGAGATGATCTGACAACTTTTTCCTTAAGGGACTTTACAGGATTTGCGAACAGTGGACAGACGGGCTTAGCGTCTCAATCAAGCGGCCAGGAAGCAAACAGAAGCGGGTTGACAAATTTTTCAGCCGTCGCCAAGGTCACGTCGCGTGGTCTGCGAGCATCGGCGGCGGTGAAGTGGAGAGTGGCTCTTCCGGAGGGAGAGACCCACCACCGCTCAGCCACATCCATCTCGTTTGCGTGCCGCGCCGCGCGTCCCGAGCGGTGGCACTGCCAATGCTGTCACTCCTTGGCTCCGAATCATCATCAATCTGTTTCCGGGGCGGAGCGCGGAGCGGCGTGGCGCGCCGGGGAGTGGGATGGGGCCGAAGACAAATATGTCTCCTTCTATTGCACACAAGTGCTCGGGCTCCTTAGCGCGACGACACCCGAAGGGCCCGAAGGCATAGTGAGCTATCACCCCCATTCAGCCGCTGCTCGTAATCTCATCTCCTCCAGCCCCACCCCACCCTCGCACGCCGCCGCACCCCGCCCCTCCCCCAATCCACGGCCCTTTCAAAGAGGTGCCCCTCGCGACAGTGGCACAGTGGCTCTAAAGTCGCCCGAGACCGGACGTCGCTTGTCCTCCTTCTTCTCGAACCCTCGCCGTCAACGCCCTCTTTCGTGCCGGTGCGTATGCCTTTGTGGACCACCGCGCCTCTAAAGCGAAATTTTTGAAGGCGTCGACTTATGTTCTGAATTTATTGCCAAGGTTTTGAATCATAAACCGTGAAAGTGTGGGAATATGTCAGCTTGCTTCGAGCCTTGAACCGTACGCCTGCTGCTGACCCCTTACAACATGTGAAATTTTCCTAGTTACACGACCTCCTTACTATCAGGCCTTGCCGCTGTCTCCACGCGCACGCTGACTGGAGCATTAGTCGCGCAGAGACAGCCTTCACGTTATCGGTTCCCCCGGGATCGCTCCTCCGCTTCAGCCGCCTATCAGCACAGAGGGCGTTGTTGTTGAGGTTGGCAGTGCCCCGTGGAGACTGGTGCCGGGGCCGCCGGGGCAGGCAAGGCGGTGCCACGGCGGTGCCCCTCCTGACCTTCCCCACCCCTCCCCCGCGCCTTCTTGATTCCCTCGGCGTCCCTGCGATCCCAGTCTTCCTCGTCTGCGAGACGGATGTCAGTGGAAAGCGTGTTGCAGTGACCCAGTTTCTACGCCGGGAACGAATAACAGAGGGCGCTACGCGCTCTACGCGTGTCGGTACTTTGCTGGTACTTTGCTAAACACGCTGCCTCGTTCATACGAGCAGGAGCCTCATGTTAAATCGGCTTGCCCGGTCTGCGCGCTTACTTCTCGGAATGTACTTCAGACGGGGAACGGGGGCGTGCCGAGACAATCGGACTGTACTCTGCACTGGGCAGCACGCGAGGTCCGCCGGGACGACTGAGTGCCCCTGCAGTGTGGTGGGTTCACGGCACCGAAGGCCGAGCCTTAAGCAATTGTCTGCTGAAGGATTCTTTGTTCCCAACAAAATTTTCGCAGTCGAGCAGGGTTTTAGCTCTCTCGGTGTAGGACGCTAAGTTACGAGGCGGGTGACATTTTTAAAGTGTAAGCTCGCAGGCCTGTGGAGGGGACTTTTCTGCAAATTGCATTTGTCATTTCCTTGCACCCTTGTGTGCCCTCCAGCCTTGAGGCGTGGCCTTCTGCCCTGTACGCAGGGGAACTCCCAGTCCTTGGGGGCGTGCTCCCCCCCCCCCCCCTCCCCGGCCCGGCCCTGGCAACCCTGGCCCGCCTGAAAGCCTGAAAGCCTTCATTTACCGTCCTTTGTGCAACAGTCCTCGAGCAACAAATTAATTCCCCCACTCTTGAAGCCCGGCCTGGCGGCCTGGCGGCCCGCCTGTCCGGACGGAACACAATTCACCCACGCTTTGACGCTTTTAAAACCCCCGCTTCTTCTTCGCCGCGTCGCCCTGCCCCGCGTCTTCCCCTTCTGCTGGATCTGTAGACGCCACAATTTCTTGCTGCCGCTCCTCCGGGCGCGGCAACTTCTCAAAGAGGCCAGGACACATATTAATCCCTTTTCCGTGAGCCTGGGGAGTGTGTCGTACTGGGTAGGAAGGTGGGCAGCCTCGGCCTTGGAGTCCGTGCAGTGGCCCGACGCTGGGCGGCCATTTCGCTAGGTCGAAGCGGCCGAGCCGCACCGCCGTACCCGCCCCCAGTGCATATCCGTCCTGGCCAAGCCGGCCCAGGCCCTGTGGTTAGCATGCGACCCGCGTGCACGTGGCCCACTAAATTAAAAGTGGACGGGCGAGGCGTCGCCAGGGCGTCGCTTGGGCACGCCACTGCGAGCCTCGTGCCTGCGACGTCCTTCTGATTTCTCATTCCCCGACGCCCTCCTCGAGGGGACGGCCTGGCCTCCTCGTCGTGGGTCCTCCAGAACGAGCCGGGGGTGAGGCCGCCCCCCTCAAGTCCAAACCGCTCGTCTTATTTCTTCTATTTTCCCTGCGGTGGCGGCGTTGGTACTGTACTTTGACGACTGAACCTCTTTCAGTCCTTTTCTCCTCTTTTTTTTCCACGCAACTTTTCACAAGTTAGCAAAGACGATTGATCCCTAAAGTGGCGCCCTTTCGCATTCATGGCCGCGTCACGCAAGTGGCTCCGTTTACAAGTTCGGTTTATTTCCGTCAAGTTGGCCGCCTGGCTCGGCCGCTTTGGCCTGCACCCTCGCCAGAGTCACCAGCCCCGGGATATTAATAGGGACAGTGAAGTTTAATAAGAACAAGGAAAGTTGAAGGTGTTCTGCATGGGACTCGTGTAATAACGCATTAGAGACAACAGGGACCTCCCCGGGCGACTATTAAGTCGGCGTTAAGCGCACGGCGGCGGCCAAGGCGGGGCGGGGCGTTTGCGTGATTGCGCCAACTTTGGATAATAATATGCACGCGCGTGCGGCGGGGCTGTCCTCAACATCGCCGGGTTAAGGTGACAGGATCCGGGAGATACTCTGTTTCCATTGTCTTCTTCTTTTCTTAACCTTTACTTTTGCTGTTTTTATTTTAATTATAGGCTAAGGGAATGCTTCGTTCCTGCTTTCTCTGTGTGCTTAAGTTAACAGTTGTGGTGTTTTTCATTGTTTCAGGCACGATGAGTTAGTCCAGCATGAGAGTCCGACCGCCATGGTGGAGTCCAGCCATCGGGATACTCGCCTTGGCAGGTACGTTATCAGAAGGACTTATCCGAGTCGCGGTATAGGCTCCTTCGTGCCGACTCGAAATCCGAGTGAGCTGACCCGAATTGCGCCCCAAATCTGCTCCGAGCAGCGCGCCCCATTTGCAGACTGGCAAAGGATATATAAACGTTCCGGAGCATCGCGGCCCGGGACGTCTTGGAATTCAGCCATAAGTTGAGCTGTTTGGGGCCGCGCGCCGCGGCACTGTTGGCTGCTTCCGAGCAGTGGTTCCGTCGCACTGTCGCCGTCGCACTCCCCGGGTGCGAGAGAGACAGAGCGACGACGGCGCCCTCCGGACTGCTGTGCGCTTCATGGCGCGCCGCGTCGCGAGAAGGCGCGCTCCCTGCGCCACTGCAGTCGGTATTGGACTTCTGTCAACGTTCGCGTGAGATTTACCAAATCACGTCGTAACTGCAAATTCAATCGCACCCCCTCCCCCTCTTTTTCCGCGACGCACGGCCTTGGCGTCCGAAGCGCGTGCCATTCGAGTTGTTGAGTCTCTTCGCACGCGGCCGCGCACTTGTCACGCCGCCCACGTGGCGCGGCCGAATGGCGCGAGATTCAAATGATGACCGGGCGGGGCTGTGCCGCCTATCGCGTTCGCGCGGGCACACGCCGCGGCGCAGGGCAGACGCCTTGTTAAGGAGACAAATTGGCGTGCAGAGTGTTCTCGAGCTTAGGACGTAACGGGGCCTTCCACGAACCAAGTGACCCAAAATAGGCCACTTTTGTACCCCTTCCCCCCTCTGCGACCTGGATCTTGCAATGTATTTTTAATGGGGGTAAGCTTTTTTCTATTAAAAAAAAAATAAAACAGGTGTTGGTGGCTCCTTTCTCGATGTCGAGCTGGTACATTGTGACAGACGCAGGTCCTTTGCCTCAACCCCCTCCCTCTGCCTCTCCCTTTCTCTTTCCCCAGCACACGTACAATAAACATGGCACATAACTCGCTGTGCTCCTGTTGTGTGATCGCTGGCTAAAGGGCAGCTTGATGACAAAAGCGGATTTTTTTTCTGCTCTTTTGTGCCGAGAGAGCGAGGGAGAGAGAAAAAGAGGAAAGCCCTGTCGAACTGCAGAGCAGTGCCTTCCCACCTTTCCTGTTTGGCTCCGTTTGTCCCGGCCAGTCGTGGCCAAATATTTGCAATAAATTTGGCGCCGACCCGTGTCCAAAGACCAGCTCTTCATTCCGGCTGACACACACACACACACACACACACACACACACACACCAACACTCCAACACACCTATACATTCTCACACATACACACACCAATATACACTCACACATACGCAGACCTATACGTTCTCACACAGACACACACACCTTTTCGCACACACACACACGTGCGCGGACAATGCAGAGACGTGCACACAACGACAATCAATAATCCTGCAGCTGTCTGGAAGACGTCGGCCTCCACGGGATGAGCAGAGAAGGAGACGAGAAACGCGCGGCGTGACACGGGAAATAAAATGGAAGAGAAAGAAGATGAAGGGTGAAAGAAAAGAGAGGGGGGAAATATGTTTGATGGTAACCTTTTATAAGTCTGAGGGGGCGAACAAATGGCGCAACAGATAGAGGCGCCACAAAGAGTGGCTTGAGAAATCCGAAATGCCGGTGCAATTTTTCTCCACTTGCCTTTATTGCTTTCTCCGAGGAGCCACATGCCTGGCGGGGCGTGGCGCGGCGTGGCGCGGCGTGGCCTCGGCCGCTTGATATTTCATTCCGCGTAATATCCCACACTGCCATTCCCGTGTGTCAACGAACAAGGTCGGGTTCGCCTCCCCGCCGGGCTGCGCAAAGAAGGGCCCAAAAAAAAGCCGGAAGGTGGAAGCCAGATTTGTCGATATTCATATCGAAAATATGGGCGCCGTCATCGGAGGAGAGCAAGGCCAAATATTAACTCAGCGGGCAATTCGCCTCGGCAGCGCGCCGCCCTGGCCGAGGCCCTGGTCGAGGCCCTGGCCGCCCTGATTGCAGGGAGAGAGGGGCCCAAGTCATTGGACCCTCGGCGCACGCGCGAACTTGGAGCTCAAAAAGGGGCACTTGGAAATCGCTCAACAGTTTGGAACAAGCCCCTGTTACACGCCTTATTTAAGAGGATGACTTCGCGGAGGAGAAATTCAATATTTTGCGCATTACTTGTTGATAGGATGCAATTTTTTCCCTCCCGTTCCACTATTGTGACAATCATGCACAAAGTCGTATACCATTTAAAATAGCACAGAATTGTTTTGTTAAACATTTAAGGTTTTGCATTTTGGGTTGCGTTTTGTTTTGTTTTGATTCTGGACGAGAGGTGCATTGAACTGGAACCACCTGTTGCAGGCCTCTGCTCCGCGTACCACCTGCGCGTGGTCAACACCAATGGCCAGGGCCTCGGTCTCGGCCTCGGCTCGGGCCCGGGACGGCCCGCGGCCGGCAGGCAGACCTACATGGCGCTGTCCGGAGACCTCATCGTGGAGATCCGGCAGCTGCCGGTGTGGGCGCGCGGCCGGCGTCTGCTGCTCCTGCTGCTGGAGCACGTCGGCAACGGGCCCGCCGGCAACAACTCCAGCACCGAGCAAGGTCAGTGACATTCATTGAGATACACTGTCACTCAGCAGCACATGGCTTTAATTTGGATGTCCGCCATTGAACGTGTCTTGCAGGGTACTCGGTGCAAGGCTCCATCCAGGTGAACGTGGCCACGAACGCGGCCAGCACGTCGGCTAACACGGGCGGCCGCCTGCAGTGGGTGCGCGGCTACAACCGCAGCAGCACGTCCACCACGCGGCCGCTGGGCAAGATGACCAGCTCGCAGCCCAACCGCGCGTCGCCGAGCGCGCCGCCGGGGCCGGCCCCGCCCACCACGCTCAAGCCGCTCGTGGCGCGCTTCCCGTGCGGCTTCGTGGCGCGCGGCGGCCGCTACGCGCTGCGGCTCGCCGGCCTGGACCGCTCCAAGAAGACGACCAGGAAGGAGGCGGGCGACAGCGGCGAGGCGGGCAGCAGCAGCGAGAACGAGAGCGGCGAGAGGGCGCCGTCGTCCAACCGGCTGCCGGGCACCTCCACCACGGCTACCACCACCACGGCGTCCTCCACCACGGCGTCGTCCCCCGCGGCCGCCACCGCCAGGCCGGCCTTCAACGACCCCGCCCTGCCTGCCACCAACGAGGTAGGCCAGGCCCCATGTAAGGCGATTTGTGTTTGGCAGTGCAGCCGCACTAACTCCACACTTGTGCAGACGGGCGGCCTGTTCCTGCTGGACGTCCTGTGGCCGCGCGCGCGCCTCTCGCTCGGCCCCAAGGAGATCGTGACGTACCCCGAGGAGGCGGTGCGCGCCACCGTCGAGTTCCTGGGCGTGCGCTGCCCCGCGGCCAAGGGCTCCCCCGTGTCCGAGTCGTGGCTGGAGCTCGTGTACTGCGGGCCCGTGCTGTCCGACTGCACCTACGGCAACTACACGCAGCGACAGGCAAGTGCACTTACTTTGCGTACTTTGAGCATGGTGTGCAAACCATTTTGTCATTCTCTGTAACAACTAGCAATCTTATGTGTGGCGCGAAAGGTAAGGTTTAGGGTGAGAAGCGAATTCCAGGGTGAGCTGAAGCAGACACCTTGATACTCACATTGATCTACACCCAAGTTCTATTGTCGGGCAACCCTGCCTGTTCCCTGGCTGTTCTCGCGTATTGGGCTGGCGCTCATGCACGGCCTCCAATCACCCAGGAGCCTGTAGCTCCTCGTCCAAACCCGAACCCGTTTCGCCGTAGTTTTCATTAGTTCCGAGTCCCATCCGGCACCGCTAGCGTGGGAACCGGGGCTCCTGGTTGGTCCAGGGCGGGCTGCCCTCGGGGCACGGGCCCTTTACCTGCCGTGCCGCCGCGCCGCCGAACCGCCCTTGCTCGGTGGCCCATCCTGCAGCGGCCCTAATTTTGCCGCTCCCTGCGCGCCATCAAACTCCGTGATAAGCCCTTTGGCGGGCCCGCCCAGCCCGCCCAGCCCTGCCTGGCCCTGCCGAGACAGACGGGCCGCGGGAGGGGGAAGGCAGGGGCACTGGAAAAGAATAAAGCCACGATGAATGATGTTGTTTGAAAATACCGGACCAGGTCGCGTCCCTGGCCGGCGGCACGGCTGTCCCCCGAGCGGCAGGGAGGGCCCAGCTCCCCCGCCCCCTCCCGTGGGGAGGCAGTGCTTCAGGCCAAGCACTGATGGCGGGGAAGGATTCCTATTACAGGCCGAGTCACATGCCTTCGTAATTTATGGATGGGCCCTAAGTGAATTTCGGTCCCCGGCTGAGCGCGGCTCTGGCTGGCGCTGCTGGCGCTGCCGGTGGCGGCCCGGTGCAACAGGCCGCCACCGCCCTCTCGTCCACCGCCGCCTACCTTTGTCTAACTTTGTTTCGCCGTCGATGGCGCGCGCTCTGCCGCGTCGTCATTCAGACGCGCGGCGTGTCGCTCTGTCTCCCTCGCACCCTCTCGGCGCGCCCTCCGAGTGCGACAGAGACAGAGCCACCAAGGTAATGTACCTGGAACAAACTTTCAAGTAAAATAGTCTCTCCCGCTTAAAGGGAAGTCCTGGTTTACGAAGCCACTTTTTCGGGTGTAGTGTCAGTCCCTCTGGAGCTGAACACCAATGTGCGCCAGCCCCACGACAGCTTGCGCCGCTTGCCCGACTTGCCCAGCTTGCCCGCGAGGCGAGAGCCTCCAGTGCGGCAGTCGCTCTTTCACTCGGCGTTCCCCAATATCTGGAAAGGGTTCGGTGTCGCTGCCGGGCGGCGGGAACTTCCACCTGGAGCACCATAACTCGGACCGTATCATGACCGCGCAGCCCCGCCCGGCCTCGGGCCCGGCCGCCCCGCTGTGGCTTGCCTTGTTTAAAGTCGTCCCGATGGCGGGCCTGCCCGTGGCCTGCACTGTATGGAGGCCACGGGCCGGGGGTGTTATTTACAGTCCTTGTAAGGAGTTAGATAAACCCTGCGGCCCTGCGGCGGGGCGGGGGACCGCCTCGGCCGCCGCGCCCCTCGCTACCCTCGCTCGCCCGATAGGGATTGGAGAGCATGATCTTGGCGGGGCGGCGCGGCGCGGCGCGGCTCAGGAGTGAGGCCCGGGGCCTAGACCGCCAGTCCGCCGAGCAGCCAGCCAAGCAGCCAGCCAAGCAGCCAGCCACGCTCAACTGAGTTATGAACTCCCTCCCGCGGCATTCCGCATTCATGATCCAGGCCGCCAAGCCGGGCCGCCCCATCCGCCCATCCGCAGCCTCGGCCTTCGGGCACCCTCGGGCACCTTCGGGCACCTTCGGGCACCTTCGGGCACCTTCGGGGTGGCCGCCAGCACCACCAGGAACGCAGGGATGCCGAAGACGCCGCACAGGTTCTCACCCGTCTTCTGTACCTGTACTGCTCGTAAAGGCCCCAACTGGCGTGGGAATTTGAGGGAGATTGTAACAGTGTCCTCGTCGTCCTGCTCGACACACACACACAGTGGCAGCGCTGATTTTCCGCTGACGGTGGGTCGTGGCTGATGAGTGCCGCTTGTTGCAGATCCTGCACTCGGAGCAAGTGCTGGGCTACCCCCACCAGCTGGCGCTGGGCCTGCAGTGCGAGCTGTTCGGCATGGCGGGCTACTACAGCCTGCACCTCCGCGCCGGCAGGCCCTCCGTCGTCGCCTGGCCCGTGGACGCCGGCGCCAACGCCACCATCAAGGTACGCAAGCGAGCGTGTGACCCCACCAATGGATTCCTCGTCCGGAGAGCAATCTATTGGTGGCGTCACACGTTCTGTTCGAGTTCCATTTAGCGACTCTGGAGCTCAAAACGCGTCCGGGGTTTTGGCCGCCTCTGCCGGTCTTCTGGCACACTGTCCCTGCCGCAGGCCGTGTGGAGCGACCGCTTCGTGTTCAACGTGCACGCCCGGTCCATCTTCCCGTGCGCGGCGCACAGCGGCGTCTCGGCGCTCTTCACGTACCCGGGCTGCGTGCTGCCGGCCGGCGACCGCGTGCGCCTGTTCGCGCGCCTCCGCGCCGACGTGTCCACCCTCATGCCGCCGCTCACGCTGCAGTACGTGGCCGAGCAGCGCGTCGCCAAGGGCACCCACGCCGTGGCCTTCGACTGCGACCTCTTCTCGGAGCGCTACGTCGAGTACTGCTTCGTGTACGTCAGCCAGGCCATCACCGGCGCCGTCACGGACGTGCGCATGGACTGCGTGCCCACCCTGCCCGTGTCCGGTGAGTACACTCTGAAAACGCGCGAGTCAACTTTAGTCCACTGTTGAGACCCCCCTCCCCCCGCCCGGCCTGTTCCAGCCACTCGCAGCACAGTCGCGCCCAAATTTAAATCATGGTTCGCCGCCACTCGACCGCGTCCCGAAAAAGCGAGCAAAACACCGGGCCGGGCAGACTGGAAAAGGGGGAGGGGGCGACCACAGCCGCAGCAGCGGCGGGCGACGCGCGGGGGCGCGAGGCGGATCTTTTCGGCTGACCTGGCAGGGCTGAATTTATTGTTTGCACCGCGCCGAGCCTGGCCGCGCCTGGCCGCGCCTGGCCGCGCCGCGCCACGCGAGCAGTAAATCTGGTTGCTCTCCTCCAGGATGACGGATTTATGGCTGTGTATTTTCCGCGCCGCTCTCCCACGCTTTGGGGCCCACGCGCTAAGCTCATTATGCGTATGCCCTGTTAAATTTAATGAGAGCTAGTTACACCTGCCGCAGGTGTGAGAGCGCCAGTCGAGGGGGGGGCCTTGGGGTTGGGGGAAGCTGCGTGGTTGCTTTGACTGCCGCGGCACAACTGCGTGCGATGTTGCTGTTGCCGTTATTCGCCATTTGCTTCGTTTCTGTTGTTTTTCGCTTTTGTTACCAGCCGGAGGGAAGGGGGGGGGGGGGGGCAAAACGACCATTGCGCACCTTGACCCCTCTTGCCCTAGAGGTAGGAAAACAGCCACTCTTTGCCCCTTAGTCTCCCCCTTGGGCTGGCTCTGGATTCGCCACGCATGCGCACGCACACACGCGCACACGTGGTTGGCTCTTAGTCGCTCTCCGCCGCGTCCGCCGGCTCCTGGAGCCCGAGGTGGCCGAGATGGCCGCGGTGGCCGTGATGGACGCGGAGCCCCCGCTCGCCGGAGAAGAAAGGGTGGAGTGGACACGGCGCGGAGTTTACGAGGGGCAGGGGCGTGGCGGGGAGGGGGGGAGGGAGGGGAGTGTGGCTTTTGCGGGATAGCAACAGGTGTCGGGTATCAGCACGCCCGCCTCGACGGCGAGGTGGCTGGCGCGGTGCGGCGCGGCGTTCGCACCCGTTGTGCTCCGGTGCACTGATCCCAGCCGGCGGTGCGCCCTGTGGTGTGCGGTCTGCCGCGGCGGGGCGTGGCGTAGTCGGCGATACCGCGAGACGTGCGACCTAGCTTCGCCCCAAAACACTCTAGAGAGAGCTAGAGTCATCCTGCGGGGGGCGGGAACGCTCGGCGTTGTGCGTGGCAGGACAGGGCGGGGCTTTCGACGGTGACTGTAGGAAGGTGGCTTTGCCGGCCGACCCCCCACAAATCCGTGCCCTCACACGCACACACACACACACAGCCCTCGGTGCTGTAGATACACGCGGAATGGCGTACGTGGTCTGCGGCAAGCCGGGCAAGCCAGGCAAGCCGGCCCTAGCCCGGCCGGTCATCCGGGCAGCAGCCAACTAGCGCGCGTGTGTGTCTGTGTGTGTGTGTGTATGTGTGTGTGTGTGTGTGTGAGTGCCAGAGTGCTGGGGGCTCTGGGGCACCCAGGCCGTCATATCCATGCCATTCCATGCGGCCATGCGTCCCGCCATGAGGCCATGGACGGCCCGGGCTTTACTACGCCGTAAACGCGCCGCCCGGCCGTGACCGTGCCGTGCCGTGCCGTGCCGCACCGACAGGTGCGGATGGATCTCCCTCCTCCCGCCCCCGGTGCGTCTCATCGCAATCTTGGCGCGGACTGTACGTGGCCCTGCTAATCCCTGCCCGAATATTCAGGCGGGCTTGTCGGCAGGGCTGCCGCTGCCGAGGGCCTTTCTCTCTCGCACCAGCGTTCCGCTCCGCGAGTGCGACGGAGACGGAGCGACGACACGGCTGCCAGGGATTGCCAGGGATGCAGGCCGGCCCGGGTCAAGGGCGCACCGGGGCCGCCTGGCCTAGGGCCGCCTAGCCTAGGGCCGCCCGTGTCCAGACTTGGCAGTGTCGCCACTCCACTGGCGGGACAATAAACAACGCAGTCAATGTTTTCGCCGTGAAAACGTCGTGAGCGCTTTATCGCGCAAGTAATCAGCGCCAGCGTCGTTCTGCGCCCAGAAAAATGACCTCTCGGGTCAAGAAAACACGACACGAAAAAAGAAAACTTTGCTGTGGTAGTTGACCAACCAGCTTTGCGTTCAAGGAATCGGATGTTTGATTGCAGCCATCGGATGCAGCCTACATAACAGAATTGACCACCACAAGCAATAAGTCTTTGTTATTCAATTTTTTCTTAATTTTTTTTAAAATTTCCAGCAGTTTAGGGGCGACAGTGGTGCGAGTGCTCCACGCATGGCGCTCGTTGTCACGGCTCTACCTTGCATGCCGCGTGACCGTCAGTCTCCTCTTCCCTGCAGCCCTTGCTCCCCCCCCCCTCCTCCCCTAAAAAAGGGAAAAAAACGGCCGCAACTTTTCCGGCCCCCGCTTTTCCCGGCCTCGCCCCTTATCTCGCCAATTTTCCACGCGACTCCGCCGTGCAGTGGCGGCGAAAACGCGTCTCGCGGTGCGGAAAATTCGTGTATTTTCCTCGCGAATTGAAGTCGGCGTGCGGTGTCATTAAGCAACACGACGGCACTCTCTCTCTTTGTCTTCCGCTCTCTCTCTCTCTCCCTCTCTCTCTTGTCTTCCGCTCTCTCTCTCTCTCTCTCTCTCTCTCTCTCTCTCTCTCTCTCTCTCTCTCTCTCTCTCTCTCTCTCTCTCTCTCTCGCTCCCTCTGGACGGGCGGCCCCTGCAGGCCCTGGCGGGGGGCCAAACGAAGGCATTAACATGGCTCGATAGATCTCCCTTTTCCCTTAGCCGCTCCGTTCCTTCTTCTGGCCCGCATTCTTTCCCCGCTCGAAGGCCAGACCGAAAGGCCTTGTCGAGTGTTGTTCGCAGCTGTCGTGCCCCGCTAGACAAACCGGGTTCGGCGATTGAAAACCGAAGTGAATTTCACCCAAAAGTCTGGCCCAGAACTTTTTTTAGTCCAGAAATCTGAGTAATCGAAAAGGAAAGTTAATTTTTTGACTTGCGGAGGTACCCACTGGAAACGATGCGGTGGTGTAAAACCGGTACAAAAACCGGTTGCTTCTGTAAAAACTGTTTTTGTGTCAACAGGCCTCGGGCAAAGGACCTCTCAGAAACTTTAACTTACGGTGCACGTGAGAGGTCCAGGTTTTTTGCGGTGTCAGACGGAATTCCCCAGACTCAGGTGTGCAGTGTATTCGGCCGCGCTGCCGGCGTCCGCGCCTTACAGGGTGGGGGTCCTAAATGCCACCGTTGGGCGAAATTATGCAACAAATGACCCGAGAGGCCGCCCGAGCAAACCAGAAAAAAAAACACTGCAACAATATGAAGAAAGTTTTTCGAGGTAATTTAGTCCGAGGAGGTCGTTAACTGGCAAAACTTCATTAATCCACTCATTTTGCCCGGCGGCCTGAGCCCCACGACTTCCCTTTGAAGACGAATGGTCGGCAAGCCCTGGGCAAGCCGGGCAAGCCGCACCACATCTGGCAAGGCGGTCTGCACTGCAAGGCCAAATCGCCGCCCAACAACAACAGCAGCAACAACAACAACAACAACAAACGGCACACTGATTCCGCACTGCGTTTCGTCTCTCTCGCACCCATACGGCGCGTCCCGTGAGTGCGAGAGAGACGGAACCGCTTGCTGTGCTTGGCGCCTTGAGGCAGGCAGTCCCGTCGCGCTCGCCTGTGTGGAGCGCAATGGGTTGCCTACCCGCTCCATCACAGGCGCTGTGGGTCGAAGAATCGGGCTAATCAGACCGAACCATGAGAGTGGGAGGGAACCCTAAAGTGGGGACTTCTAAAATTGCTACTGTACTCCGGGCCGGCAGCTGCATGTCCAAACACGGCAACATTATATTTTCTGTAACATTTCGCCGGCCGTGCTGCCGTGCTTATCTGCCGACTGTATCTCCCATTCCTCTCTTCCTCGTTGATTGCGGCCGACTGGCGGGCGAATGCCTTAGATTACTTGTTTCCCTGTCGACGTGCGTGTTGTGGCGGGCGATGTATGTGTTCGAGCCGCGCGTCGGGGCGGGGCGGGGCGGGGCGGGGCGGGGTGGGGCGGCCTGCCGAAATGACCACAGCGCTCGTAACGGGTTATGTTATGGCTGGTAGCCTCACCTTGTTCAAACATTGCACGCGCGGCCCGCTCTCTCACACACACACACACACCAGCGCGAATACCGACGTTGTGCCCTTACCCACTTTTTCCGCGCACCCTCGCACGCACACACACTCACACGCGCCCGGCCGGCACAACACACTTCTTTTACACATTTTATCTCGTAATTCCTCCCTGCTGGTTCAGGGCCGCGTGGCTCCGCGCGGCACGGCGGTGATTTGCATAAGCGACCACGCGTGTGGACGTTTGGCCGAATTCCAGGCCGTCACACTGAGAAAAAAAATATTCTGCGCCGGGTCTTGGAGTGGGCACGCTCGCACGGAAATTTATTGGATAGTGCGGCATGATGCCTAGACAAGGGCCAAGGAGCCGTGGCACGGAAATGATAGCGGGGGATTTTTTTTGTGGGACGCTACAGTGTGACGATCATGCCTTCGCGTTAGCGGCGAGTGATTCCGAATAGTCGCTCTGTCTCTCTCGCACCGCACGGGACGCCCCGCGGGAGCGACAGAGAAGGATCGACGCTCTCCGCGGAATCAGAGGCTCGCCGATGACACGCCTGTCTCTGCTTGTTGCGCCCAGGGACCGGCGCGGACCGGCGCGGACCCTGGGCGAGGGTCGCGGCGAGCTCGCCTGTCTGACAAAACGCCGAACGCCATTTGAAAGTCAAGAGGGGTTCGGGCGGAGGGGCCGGGCAGGGGCGGCTCGCTTTCAATAATGGAGACAGCGCGGGAAATTTGAATTTGGAGGCCGAACCGTGCACGGTCAGGTGACTGAGGCGCCTCCTTGACGGCGTGCACGTTGCCAAACCGCCCTCTCTCCGGGGACCGGAAATAAATCACAACGGTAAAAA